TCCTCATGGGGAACAAAATTAGCCTCCCTCCAGAAGGAAGGACAGTGTCGGCACCAATTCAGAGATGATTTGAGGATCTAAAGCCGAGTGATACACAAATAAGATACATTTTTGTTAATACTTAGTGACATTAAACCCTCAGATTTTTTAACATAAAACAATACTGTAATGTGCGCTTTACTGTAATCCATGGTTGTTTCCCTTCTCTTTGCTGCTCTTCCTTTTAAATCCTCATGTCTTCTCATGCTTGGGAAGAACTTCCCTTTTCAGCTCAGGGCCTCTTCCTGTAGTGCTGGCTTAGGTTACAAGTCTATAGAAACGTATACACAGACACCGTGTATCCATTCCTGAGACAAGGCAGTCTGCTGCAAAACAGAAGTTCTGCAGAGCATGAGAACAGATACAGATTTAAAAGGAAGAGCAGCAAAGAGAAGGGAAACTACCATGGATTACAGTAAGGCACACATTACACTATTGTTTTATGTTAAAAAATCTGAGGGTTTAATGTCACTTTAAGGCACTAAACTCCTGAGTTTACTGTCACTTTAGGCCAGAATTTCCACCTCTGCATGATTGATCGAGGTCAATGTTAAGTATTGAAGTATTAAAGGGGCTCAGTAATGGTGTCCTCCTTGCTTGTCTTAGTACAGTTTTAATTTGCAAACCAGTTCTCCGTGCTGTTGAATTGGCCTTATTTGGGCAAGACAGGTTGTCTGGAGGGTTCATTTTAATAAGCCTTTGTAATAAGAGATTACTAATATATATTTGTGTGCGTGTTGTGTCATAGAAAGCAGATTTTTATTTATTTTTTTCCTGCAGGAAAATGTAATCTAAACACTTTTGTTTTTGTAGAATGGAAAGCTATCTGCTGAAGTTGAGCCATTCATCCCTCAGAAGAAAGGGACTGAAGCCCTTGCAATTCCAATGTCTCTACCAGGTGATGGTGGAAGCGTAGGTGGACTTGAACCCACTCCTATTCCAAGCTACCTTATAACCTGTTACCCATTTGTGCAGGAGAACCAGTCGAATCGGTAATTTGCATGCCTTCCTTTAGTTCATAAACTGAATCCAAATGCTTTCTGACTTCTGATTTTAGTATTCTGACAGACTTAAAACAGGAACTGAGACGTGTTTATCTTGTAGGTCAATATCACCTGACATACTGTATCTTTGAGTTGACAATGCGTGAACTTTGCTTTCTGCTTTGAGTAGAGATTATGTTAATGTTTTTTTAGTTTAAAGTCAGTTATATTTGCTTAGTCATAGTAACACAACAAATAAACAACAAAATAATATATTTTTTAGGTTCCAGCTCTAGCTGTTCCCTTTTGCCATTGCTTCATTCTGGTGCTGTGTTTAAGGGAATTGCATAGAAAAAAATTGTCACAGTATCTTCCAAGACTGTATGTGATTGTGTACAGTAAAGGAAGTGATGGATTAACTTCATCCTGAAAGGGAATACTCGTGACTCGATGTGAATCATCACATGACTTTTTCTCCAGGACACATAAGTCAAGCATTGCCCTGATTTGTGTGGAAAACTTTGGCATGTTTTACATTTTTAAATCAGTTGGTGGGCCAACCTCATAAACCATTAAAGGAGAACTATGAGGTGAGTGAAAATCACTCCTCCTCCTACTGGTAGTTGGAGCCGTCATGTGACAATGAAACTGTCACACGTCGGCTCAATAGATCGGGGAGTGAGCGAACACATACCGTCGCTCGCTCACTTCTCGATCATCTCCCTGCAGGGAGCAGTGACTAACACCCCACTCCGATCCTCCAGCGCTGAGTGTAGGAACGGACGGGGAGGGGGCGGGCACAGCTGGCTCTGCCTCTAAATGGGCAGAGCCAGCTGTCGCTCACGCAGCTGGTGGATCTCGACAGTAATGTCAGGATCTGTCCCGGCTGCGGCGGTCTCCGTATACCGCGAGCTGTAGCTTGCGATATACTGAGCTTTGGGTCACGGGAGGATGCTAGTATATGTCTTCCCGTGACCCTTAAGAGAACTATGGGGGAAAAATACTTCCCCCATAGTTCTCTTTTAAAGAAGAACTCCATCTATCAAAAAAAATCACTCTTGCAGTGGGCTACCACTGCACTGCAAGGGTTAACTGCTCGTTTTGGTCTAGGGCAGTTTTTCTCAACTTTTTCTAGGGCCGTGACCCCTTGATAACATTTGCCAAGTTGTGGTGACCCCCAACGGAGCGCTGGACTCCAAAATTAGTAAGGCACTGCACTTGGGACTAAAAATAGAAGCACACTCGCAAGAATACAAGCCCTGTATAGCCCCTGTTACCTGCTTTCCTGCTCTGTCTCCATGCAGCCTTCCTAGCCCCAGCACTGCTTGGAAGCCCGCCTCCTGCAGAGCCCGCACTGTATGGGAGGCAGGAGGACAGCAGCGGCTGTGAATAGAAAAGCCCTGCTGTAAACACTCCTCGGCCACTAGATGTCGCTGCAGCGGCCAGGGAGTGTGTATAGCGGCACTTTTATATTCACAGCCTCTGCTGTCCTCCCGCTGACTGACACTACTGCGCTAGGAGGAGGCTGAGGATCCTCTCACCTAGCGCAGCAGAAGTGGATGCTGCAACCCCCTCAACAGTGAGTTCCGACCCACTTTTGGGTCGCGACCCACAGGTTGAGAACCGCTGGTCTAGGGGCTGGAAGAGAAGATATACTCGCCTGATTCTCGGTCCTGCGGCAGTCGGCACTCTCCTTCCTCTCCCATTCCTCCAGCTATGGTATGTCCCTCAGGGTCCTCACATCTAATTACAGAATCTACATTAGATGTGATGTCAGCAGGGCTTAGACTGCCAGAGCACAGGGGAAAAGAGGCAGATGGAACCGGTCTAGCAGCCAGGTGGAGGTAGCTATATCTTCTTTAATCCAGCCCCTAGACCAAAACGAGCAGTTAACCACTGCATTGTCGGAGTAGCCCCGCTGGAAGTGTTATTTTTGTTAATTCATGGAGTTCCACTTTAAGAATACAATATAATATATACATTTAGACGAGGACAACATTTTATTACAATCCACCCATTGCATTAATCCATGGTAGCACAGTATATAAAGACTAATGTATTTATTCAACCTCAAATACTATGTAACTATGAATGAGATCCTAATAGGTTGGACTTGATGGACTAATGTCTTTATTCAACCTCAAATACTATGTAACTATGTAACTATATAGCCTAAAGTGGACCTTTAACCACTTGCTGACCGTGGGTGTTTATACCCCCTTGCTGTCCAGGCCATTTTTCAGTATTCAGCGCTGCGGTACTTTGACTGACATTTATTCCGTTATGCAACGCTGTACTGAAATTAATTTTATACCATTTTTTGGGGACAGATAGAGCTTTCTATTGGTGGTATTTAATCACCACTGGGGGTTTTATTTTTTACTATACAACAAAAAAGTACAGAAATATATATATTTTTAAAATGGTTTTCCCTTTATTATTTTAGGAAACAATTATTTTTACCTAATTTTTTGGCATAATATAAAAGTCGGGTAAATAGACACCAAACATATCAAGCCTTAAAATTGTGCGCACCAGTGAAATCGCTAAAAAACACTATAGCCAAAATTGGCCATAGGCGACGCTTTAAAAGATTTTACCGCTCATCAGTTTAGTGTTATCAGTGATTAATGGCTCTAGAATTATTGCTCTCATTGCGGCGATAGGTAACACGTGCAGCATAATTGGAGCAATCGTCATTTTTGCGTGTAGGCGCATCTAACGCATTTTTGCGCATCTTTGTGGGGGTGGGGCACAATTTTTTTTTTTTACACTTAACTTTGTTATCACATAGGGTGTTAAGTCTCCTATGTGATAACAAATTACAGTTACAGGTCCCCTTTATGGAGACATCAGGGGTCTCTAAGACCCCTAATGTCCCCTAGGGACCTCCCCGAGAAGCTGATGAAGCACAGATGATTCTGGCCAGAACGCACTGCATTACATTGCGGCCGGCTCACTTTTTTGTGGGACAGGAGGAGGCGTGGTGGGCCATTGAAGTGAATGGCACCGTAGCCACGCCCTCTGGCAGCAATGCGATCGCCCGCACGGGATCGCAAGGCACATTGTGCCTGCGGTCCGGTGCGATCAAAATAGTGCTTGCAGCGTGCCGGCGATCGCATTGCGGCCAGAGGGCATGGCTACGGTGCCATTCACTTCAATACCACATTCTGAAATTGTTCTACACTAAAATTGTATTTCACTCCTTGTACTTTGTGACCTAGAACTTCCAAAATAAACTGAAATCCCAGACATATGAGATACTTTATACATCAGGACAAATAAAGAATTTATTATGAATTAATTGAAAGTATGTTACAGTATTTGAGGTTGAATAAAGACATTAGTCCAAGTCCAACCTATTAGGATCTCATTCTAGGAGTACCTGTACCCCTGTATATTATGGTCTCATTGTCCAAAAGTTTCTTGAAGGATCTAAAGCCGAGTGATACACAAATAAGATACATTTTTGTTAATACTTAGTGACATTAAACCCTCAGATTTTTTAACATAAAACAATACTGTAATGTGCGCTTTACTGTAATCCATGGTTGTTTCCCTTCTCTTTGCTGCTCTTCCTTTTAAATCCTCATGTCTTCTCATGCTTGGGAAGAACTTCCCTTTTCAGCTCAGGGCCTCTTCCTGTAGTGCTGGCTTAGGTTACAAGTCTATAGAAACGTATACACAGACACCGTGTATCCATTCCTGAGACAAGGCAGTCTGCTGCAAAACAGAAGTTCTGCAGAGCATGAGAACAGATACAGATTTAAAAGGAAGAGCAGCAAAGAGAAGGGAAACTACCATGGATTACAGTAAGGCACACATTACACTATTGTTTTATGTTAAAAAATCTGAGGGTTTAATGTCACTTTAAGGCACTAAACTCCTGAGTTTACTGTCACTTTAGGCCAGAATTTCCACCTCTGCATGATTGATCGAGGTCAATGTTAAGTATTGAAGTATTAAAGGGGCTCAGTAATGGTGTCCTCCTTGCTTGTCTTAGTACAGTTTTAATTTGCAAACCAGTTCTCCGTGCTGTTGAATTGGCCTTATTTGGGCAAGACAGGTTGTCTGGAGGGTTCATTTTAATAAGCCTTTGTAATAAGAGATTACTAATATATATTTGTGTGCGTGTTGTGTCATAGAAAGCAGATTTTTATTTATTTTTTTCCTGCAGGAAAATGTAATCTAAACACTTTTGTTTTTGTAGAATGGAAAGCTATCTGCTGAAGTTGAGCCATTCATCCCTCAGAAGAAAGGGACTGAAGCCCTTGCAATTCCAATGTCTCTACCAGGTGATGGTGGAAGCGTAGGTGGACTTGAACCCACTCCTATTCCAAGCTACCTTATAACCTGTTACCCATTTGTGCAGGAGAACCAGTCGAATCGGTAATTTGCATGCCTTCCTTTAGTTCATAAACTGAATCCAAATGCTTTCTGACTTCTGATTTTAGTATTCTGACAGACTTAAAACAGGAACTGAGACGTGTTTATCTTGTAGGTCAATATCACCTGACATACTGTATCTTTGAGTTGACAATGCGTGAACTTTGCTTTCTGCTTTGAGTAGAGATTATGTTAATGTTTTTTTAGTTTAAAGTCAGTTATATTTGCTTAGTCATAGTAACACAACAAATAAACAACAAAATAATATATTTTTTAGGTTCCAGCTCTAGCTGTTCCCTTTTGCCATTGCTTCATTCTGGTGCTGTGTTTAAGGGAATTGCATAGAAAAAAATTGTCACAGTATCTTCCAAGACTGTATGTGATTGTGTACAGTAAAGGAAGTGATGGATTAACTTCATCCTGAAAGGGAATACTCGTGACTCGATGTGAATCATCACATGACTTTTTCTCCAGGACACATAAGTCAAGCATTGCCCTGATTTGTGTGGAAAACTTTGGCATGTTTTACATTTTTAAATCAGTTGGTGGGCCAACCTCATAAACCATTAAAGGAGAACTATGAGGTGAGTGAAAATCACTCCTCCTCCTACTGGTAGTTGGAGCCGTCATGTGACAATGAAACTGTCACACGTCGGCTCAATAGATCGGGGAGTGAGCGAACACATACCGTCGCTCGCTCACTTCTCGATCATCTCCCTGCAGGGAGCAGTGACTAACACCCCACTCCGATCCTCCAGCGCTGAGTGTAGGAACGGACGGGGAGGGGGCGGGCACAGCTGGCTCTGCCTCTAAATGGGCAGAGCCAGCTGTCGCTCACGCAGCTGGTGGATCTCGACAGTAATGTCAGGATCTGTCCCGGCTGCGGCGGTCTCCGTATACCGCGAGCTGTAGCTTGCGATATACTGAGCTTTGGGTCACGGGAGGATGCTAGTATATGTCTTCCCGTGACCCTTAAGAGAACTATGGGGGAAAAATACTTCCCCCATAGTTCTCTTTTAAAGAAGAACTCCATCTATCAAAAAAAATCACTCTTGCAGTGGGCTACCACTGCACTGCAAGGGTTAACTGCTCGTTTTGGTCTAGGGCAGTTTTTCTCAACTTTTTCTAGGGCCGTGACCCCTTGATAACATTTGCCAAGTTGTGGTGACCCCCAACGGAGCGCTGGACTCCAAAATTAGTAAGGCACTGCACTTGGGACTAAAAATAGAAGCACACTCGCAAGAATACAAGCCCTGTATAGCCCCTGTTACCTGCTTTCCTGCTCTGTCTCCATGCAGCCTTCCTAGCCCCAGCACTGCTTGGAAGCCCGCCTCCTGCAGAGCCCGCACTGTATGGGAGGCAGGAGGACAGCAGCGGCTGTGAATAGAAAAGCCCTGCTGTAAACACTCCTCGGCCACTAGATGTCGCTGCAGCGGCCAGGGAGTGTGTATAGCGGCACTTTTATATTCACAGCCTCTGCTGTCCTCCCGCTGACTGACACTACTGCGCTAGGAGGAGGCTGAGGATCCTCTCACCTAGCGCAGCAGAAGTGGATGCTGCAACCCCCTCAACAGTGAGTTCCGACCCACTTTTGGGTCGCGACCCACAGGTTGAGAACCGCTGGTCTAGGGGCTGGAAGAGAAGATATACTCGCCTGATTCTCGGTCCTGCGGCAGTCGGCACTCTCCTTCCTCTCCCATTCCTCCAGCTATGGTATGTCCCTCAGGGTCCTCACATCTAATTACAGAATCTACATTAGATGTGATGTCAGCAGGGCTTAGACTGCCAGAGCACAGGGGAAAAGAGGCAGATGGAACCGGTCTAGCAGCCAGGTGGAGGTAGCTATATCTTCTTTAATCCAGCCCCTAGACCAAAACGAGCAGTTAACCACTGCATTGTCGGAGTAGCCCCGCTGGAAGTGTTATTTTTGTTAATTCATGGAGTTCCACTTTAAGAATACAATATAATATATACATTTAGACGAGGACAACATTTTATTACAATCCACCCATTGCATTAATCCATGGTAGCACAGTATATAAAGACTAATGTATTTATTCAACCTCAAATACTATGTAACTATGAATGAGATCCTAATAGGTTGGACTTGATGGACTAATGTCTTTATTCAACCTCAAATACTATGTAACTATGTAACTATATAGCCTAAAGTGGACCTTTAACCACTTGCTGACCGTGGGTGTTTATACCCCCTTGCTGTCCAGGCCATTTTTCAGTATTCAGCGCTGCGGTACTTTGACTGACATTTATTCCGTTATGCAACGCTGTACTGAAATTAATTTTATACCATTTTTTGGGGACAGATAGAGCTTTCTATTGGTGGTATTTAATCACCACTGGGGGTTTTATTTTTTACTATACAACAAAAAAGTACAGAAATATATATATTTTTAAAATGGTTTTCCCTTTATTATTTTAGGAAACAATTATTTTTACCTAATTTTTTGGCATAATATAAAAGTCGGGTAAATAGACACCAAACATATCAAGCCTTAAAATTGTGCGCACCAGTGAAATCGCTAAAAAACACTATAGCCAAAATTGGCCATAGGCGACGCTTTAAAAGATTTTACCGCTCATCAGTTTAGTGTTATCAGTGATTAATGGCTCTAGAATTATTGCTCTCATTGCGGCGATAGGTAACACGTGCAGCATAATTGGAGCAATCGTCATTTTTGCGTGTAGGCGCATCTAACGCATTTTTGCGCATCTTTGTGGGGGTGGGGCACAATTTTTTTTTTTTACACTTAACTTTGTTATCACATAGGGTGTTAAGTCTCCTATGTGATAACAAATTACAGTTACAGGTCCCCTTTATGGAGACATCAGGGGTCTCTAAGACCCCTAATGTCCCCTAGGGACCTCCCCGAGAAGCTGATGAAGCACAGATGATTCTGGCCAGAACGCACTGCATTACATTGCGGCCGGCTCACTTTTTTGTGGGACAGGAGGAGGCGTGGTGGGCCATTGAAGTGAATGGCACCGTAGCCACGCCCTCTGGCAGCAATGCGATCGCCCGCACGGGATCGCAAGGCACATTGTGCCTGCGGTCCGGTGCGATCAAAATAGTGCTTGCAGCGTGCCGGCGATCGCATTGCGGCCAGAGGGCATGGCTACGGTGCCATTCACTTCAATACCACATTCTGAAATTGTTCTACACTAAAATTGTATTTCACTCCTTGTACTTTGTGACCTAGAACTTCCAAAATAAACTGAAATCCCAGACATATGAGATACTTTATACATCAGGACAAATAAAGAATTTATTATGAATTAATTGAAAGTATGTTACAGTATTTGAGGTTGAATAAAGACATTAGTCCAAGTCCAACCTATTAGGATCTCATTCTAGGAGTACCTGTACCCCTGTATATTATGGTCTCATTGTCCAAAAGTTTCTTGAACAATTCCACATTCTTTGCTAAAATCACCGCCTGTGGCAGTGAGTTCCAGACCCTAACTGATCTTACTGTGAAGAACCCCCTTCGCCCCTTGTGCTGGAATTTTTTTTCCACCAATTTTCGGTGGTGGCCTTTAGTTTTTGTCACAGAGTTAATTTTAAACAGTTTATCGCTAATGTTGCTACCACTTCCCGCTTTCATCCTTTATTGGGCCTATCTGCTCTTTTCTAACCTTTTTTACTGTTAATATATTGGTAGAATTTTGCACATTATTATTGCATTTTCTTTGTATTTTTTATTTAAAAAAAAGAATTAATATATGCATATGTCACATCAAATTAAAGCCTATTTTGTCCTTTAAAAAACCAGAATAAAATATGTGTAGGTGCAATGAATGAGGAAGATGGAAATTATGGTTAAACAAACACATGGCAAAATTGCTCCGATCCCCAGGAACTAGAAATGTTCTGAAGCTGTGTCACTAAGGGGTTTAAAGGCATTTTTATTTTCTTTTGTTCTTATTCAAGTATATCACCATTTTATATCTAGGTACTGTTGGAATAAAGATCCAATGTTTGTATGTCGTCAGATATGTTTTTCATAAAATGTACTAAATTTTTCACAAAACTGTGTATAATAAATCTTCTATTTTAATTTTGTGGTGTACATCATTTTATTTATGGTTTTATTACTTGTAGGCAAATTCCATTATATATTAATGATATAAGATGGCAACAATCAAACTCAAACCCTCCTGGACCCTACCTTGCATATCCGATTGTACCTGCTCAGCCACCTGTATCAACAGAATACATGTACTACCAGCTAATGCCTGCACCTTGTGCTCAAGTCATGGGATTCTATCACCCGTTTCCTACTACTTATACCACACCCCTTCAAGCAACCAATGCAGTCAATACAATCTCAATCGATTGCAATGACAGGGCAAACCAACAAACTCCCATCAATGTGTTATCCAACCAGCGAAGCAGAAATACCACCAGACCACCCCTTATCCACAAAGTAGGTTTTACACGCTATCCACATAAATGTATTTGAGAGCTGGTCCTGATTTTGCTTCTGCAATATTCTTGTTTACCTGAATAGTCTAAAATGTTTATAACTATGCAGGATTACTCCTGAAAGGATTATATCTACCTTGGAGAGTGAAAGGTCACTTGAAGTCTGACTATTGCTGCCCCAGTAGTTGCCTGATCTCAAGCTGTTAACACAGTTATTAGCATGAGGGTCCAGTCACACCATCAAGAGTGCGTTCCAGTGTGTTCAGCCTTTGGAACGCAACCCGGCCGGCTCCCTTTGTTTTGGGAAGGGACATGGCGGTGCATTGAACTCAATGGCACCAAAGCCACGCCTCCCCGCCCGCAGTGTGATCGCCGACACCCGAACGTGTGGCACATTAGTGCCTGCTTTCCGGTCCAGTGCGATCTGCAAAAACTGCTGCATGCACTATTTTTTGTAGATCACACTGGGCCGGAACCCAGGCACTAATGTGCCACGCGGTCAAGTGCCGGCAACCGCACCGCGGGTGGGGAGCGTGGCTTAGGTGCCATTGAGTTCAATGCACCCCCTCCTGCCCCAAAACAAAGTGAGCCGGCCGGGGTGTGTTCCAGAGGCTGAATGCACTCTTGATGGTGTGACTGGACCCTGAAGTCAGGTAGTTGACCAGGCAGTAACTGTCAGACCTCAGGTGTCCTCTTACCCTTCATTCTCAGAGCCAAAGATCAAGCTCAGATAGAATAAGTAACACAGTTTGAGCACAATGTTAGTTTGCACTTTTTGCTGCCAGAACTATTTTTTATTTTTTTTTTCATTTTTCACACGCATTACATTTTTTTTTCTTTTTAAACATGAAAACATGCTTAAAACCCCCAATTGTTATGTATTTTCTGAAAGCAGAAGATGGCTAGAAAAAACTGATGGTAGATACCAAATATGTCAAGACTTAAAATTGCGTGTGCCCGCGAAGCGTCAACAAATGATGATACTTATTTTGACTCTTTAAAAACCTTTTACAGCTTATCGGTTTAGAGTTACCTGTAAATAATGGCCCCAGGGTTTTTCTGGTTAAGCTGGCCATGCACAGAAAATGTGTTCTTGTTCCGCCTGAATGTCTTGAATGAATGGGGGAATACCCCCATCATTCAATACCCCCATACACGCTAAACAGCATGGGTAGAAGAGCCTCCACTGCCAGCTATTGAATTCAGACGCCTGAATAACCAGTCACTATATCTGATAGTATGCAGTCACTGTTCAGCCAATTTTCCACCCCACTCAGCTTATTTTTTAAATCGACTTTTGTTGAGCCGGGTGGTGCTTGCTGGGTACCCAAGGCTCGACTTTCAATCGATTTAGCAGAAATCCGTCAAAATTTAAGCTTTGTATGCCGAGGTTTACTCTGGCATGAACTGCGATACCTAATGTGTATATATTGCACAATCATCATTTACATACACCCTGTTCTCGCTCTGCATTTTTTCCCCAACCACAGTGCCTGGCACTATTTGGCTCTGAACCTGAAAGTGTTCAGACCTGAGCATTTCCGGGTTCATTAATCACAGGGGAGATCGAGGAACAGATGCCTTGCACTTTTTTGCTGCTCTCCATCCTAACACTGGCCATGAATGTCCTGGTCTCCTACACAACTCAGTTGAACCTGGGACACACACACACACACACACACACACACGTGTGTGTGTGTTTTAACCTTTTTTTTTCTATAGAAGTGATTTGGGGGCTTTACTGCTGCCTGAACCACTTCTTTTACAGAGCCCGAAGCCAGCTCTACAGAATGTAATCAAGCAGTTGCAAGTTTGTTTACATCACGTCAAAAGGGTTAATGATAATTTTTCTAAGGATATTCAAATTACTTTCTATGCTGTCTTTAAATAGAAAAATAAATTATCGATTTAAAAATGTTGTATCATATATAGACAGAGGACCGTTAAGCACACAGCATCAGTTTTCTATAGTGCCATCCACACTGGCTAGGTGATTATCAGAGTCTGTCGGAAAACCAAGCTAGAAGTAAAAGAGCCCTTTCACACTGGCATTCCAGTCAGGTCCGCCTGTCAATTCTTTTGGCGGATCAGCAAGTCCAGTGTTAGTCTGTGGGCAGCTGGATCTAAACGGACATGTGATTCCCTCCAACTCCAGCCAGGCCTGGAAAACCAAACTGAACAGAGTTCCTTTTTTGGCGGACCTGACTGTGCTGGATTTGGGTGGGGGTAATCTGATGTAAACTGACACGTGTCCGTTTACATCCAACTCCCCATAGACTAACATGCGTCTGATACAGATGACACAGATATCACTTGGTGACCTCTATTCTGATCTGCTCTGAGCAGCAGGGACTCCCCTGCACGGATCCCCTGCTGATCAGAACTGAAGGCGCCTGTGTGAAAGGGGCTAAAAAAAGCCTTTGCAATTTAAAAGTGTTACATTGTAGATATCCTGACACCTTTTTTCAGTGATGTTGCCAGCCCCTGTGTCACTGCAGTGTGTTGGCTTGCAAAAACATTACTGACTCTCCTTCAGCCCTTGGCTGTTATCTCTCTATCAAGTCCTTTTATTTTCAACCTTGAACACATCACATTTGTTGGCATACATAATGCTGCAACCAGCCAAAAAGTCGGTGTCCTATACAGTATTTTGCATTGCTTAGACTTCCATTTATTTCACTATCTATATCAGTAGTGTATATTGTAATCTTTTCTATTTATTTCCAAGCCTCCACAGCTAGGTGTGCCACAGATTAAATGCAAGAGGCCTCCGATGAAAAGTGTGGCAGTACAAAAGGAAACTTGTTCATCGGGACCAGACAGTCGGTCCAAAATTGTTCTCTTAGTGGATGCTTGCCAGCAAACAGGTGAATTATTATACTCTTGGACTCTTACAAGTGTTTGTGCATGTAAATATGAAAGTACAAATATTGAATATTAAGCTTTTTTTGTAGATTTTCCCAATGAAATTGCCAACAAATCACTCTCTGAAAGTATGGGTGCAGTACTATGGAAAACAAAAGCAAGACGCCGGCGGTCCTCTCATCCTGCAGCAGAGTCATCCAGTGAGCAAGGTGCAAGTGAAGCAGATATCGACAGTGACAGCGGATACTGCAGTCCAAAACACTGCCAGGCAGCTGCGGTGTGTTCTAGACATGCAGACTGTACTGCCTCAACTGTCAGTGTATGTAAAAAAAATCTAGCATGTTACTTTTATATATGTACTGTGTTTCATGTAGTCCAGGATGTCATAGCCGCTCTGAAATTTGCATGTTTGTGTGCTGCTCTGAGGAACATATTGTTTATACTTTGCATTAGATGTGCATAAGGAGATTTGAAGATAATCTGATCTATTCATCTGTCTTCAATGACTTGGAAAGCAAAATGTTTTAATCCGTATGTGTTGTGATTTGTAAACAATTTCAGATGTTTATTTGTAAAAGTACTGCTAACGAGTTCTTTTTAATAATTGTCTATGCCATGTTTTCCAGATTGCAGAGCCAACAGTTTGCACAGGTAACAAATATGTTATTTCTTACAGCAAATTAGGCCTAATTTATAAATATGTGCTTTTATAAGAACTGTGTTGCCTGACTGCCACAAGATAGATTGAAATCTGTGCTGGATAATCCTAGAGAATGAGAAGTTAAATGTTAATGGTTGTTGGAGATGAAGGCCAGCTAATCTGATTTCTTCCTTCCATGCCATTAGATTGCAGTGTTCTGTTCCTGGTCATGGCATTATGGTTACATTATTATTATTATTATTATTATTATTATTATACAAGATTTATATAGTGCCAACAGTTTGTGCAGCGCTTTACAATATTGGGAAGACATTACAATTCAAGACAAGATGGTAAGGAGGGCCCTGCCCGTGAGGGCTTACAATCTAAAAGGGAGGGGCAAGTGATACATGAGGAGTTAGCTGTGTGGGGATGAATTGTTTGAGAGAGAGTTCAGCGCTTCGTTTGAGGCTTTAGTGATCACCTAAAGTCAGTCAGAGTAGGAGACGGACAGGTTGAGGTAAGGAGTCCCAATGGGAGAGACTCTAGAAAAGTCCTGGAGGCGAGCATGGGAGGAGTGACGAGGGAGCTAGAGAGAAGATGGGGACAGTTAGGGTGATATTTTGAGACAAGGTTTGAGATATAGCCGGGGGCAGAGTTGTGGATGGCTTTGTAAGTGGTTGGGAATATTTTGAATTTTATCCTTTGGGCGAGTGGAAGCCAGTGCTGGGATTGGCCGAGGGGGGTTGCAGACACTGAGCGATTTGTTAGGTGGATGAGTCTAACCGCAGCATTCATAATAGACTGAAGGGGGATAGCCTGTGTAGTAGGCCAATGAGGAGGGAGTTGCAATAGTGAAGATGGGAGATAACAAGTGAGTGGATGAGCAGCTTTGCGGTTTTATTAGTGAGGAAGGGACGTATTTTCGAGATATTATGGAGGTGAAGGCGGCAGGATTTGGATAGGGATTAGATGTCGGGCAGAAAGTTGAGGTCCGAGTCAAGGATGACACCTAGTACCTTGGCATTGGGGGAGGGCAATTGGATAAACTTTTCTTTGTGAGAAAAACTGACTTTCACTAAGCTGTAAAGGTGTGTGATTGCTGTCTCTCTTCCTGTAAACAGCTGGAGGAAGTTGGGCCAGTGTGGCCTCCCAAGCTACTCAGAAGAAGCCTTGGAATGAAAAAAGTCAGGTTTTCTGTAGAGGCGGAAGACAGGCGGAACTTCGAAATAATGCACAGGTAATGAGAAAATCGGCATAGGACAAACATGAACTCCTACAACATTATTAAATCTTAGTTGTAACTTGGTTTGAAAACTAGTTAAAAAAAAGAAAAAGGAAGTAACTCGATGCTTGTATATGCTTTGCCCACAGCTTGGGTATCGTATGAGAGGACAGAGCACATCATCAGAAAGAAGACAAAGTATTCAAAGGAAGCAAGAAAGTAAATCGGGGACCACAGCACAGTTAAACCGACCAGACCAGAGTCCTGAACAGTTGCACTTTGAGGTATTGCTTTATGTACTATTTGTGAGAAGCAGAATTAAAAAATGATGTAACAATTCTAAGCAAGAGATATCTCAGAACTGGTCAAGATAAGTTAATAGCATACATTTTAAAATCAACAAATAAATATGTCGGTGCTTTTGAAAATGTAGTATGTCATTGGGCTATCTGTCTGTCTGTCTGTCTATCGTGTGTGTGTATACATAATGTTTATATAATATATGTTGGCTTCCTCATTTTATGTAATGCTATGGGTAAATATAAGTAGGATTTCTATAGCATTGTTCAGCAAATAAAAAGTTAAGTAGTGTTATTTTAATGGTAATACATATGTAAAAAATATAAACTAGGTGTTGTTCCAATTTGGCTGCGAACATTGACACACACTTTAACCACTTGCTGACCGGGGTGTTAAACACCCTTCCTGGCCAGCCCATTTTTCAGTGTTGAGCACTGCAGTACTTTGACTGACATTTATTCAGTCATACAACGCTGTCATACAAAATTAAATTCATTTTGTATAATTTTTTTGGGGACAGAGTTTTCTTTTGGAACTAAAAACCTGTTATCAATACGTTATGTTTATATGACACAATTTTTGGGTAAAATAATAAAGATGAGGTCACGTCGGGTAAATAGACACCAAACATGTTGAGCTTTAAAATCGCAAAAAAACTGCCATGCCTAAAGTTTTCCATAGATGACGCTTATCAGTTTAGTGTTATCAGTGATTAATGGCCCTAAAATGATTGCTCTGACTGCGACGTGTGAGGCAATATGTAACGTGTGGCGTAATCGTTGTTTTCACTTGTATGTGCATCCGACGCGTATTTATGTTTATAATGCATGCACGGGGGGGACTTAAAACTTTTTTTGGGTGTTTAAAAAAAAAAAAAGAATTATGTTAATATGAGACTTTCTTTTAAAAAAAATTTTTTTTACACACTTGATTGCTATCGCATAAGGGGTTAAGACCCCTAATGTCACCTGGGGACCCCCAAAGAAGCAGAGATCTGCTTCACCAGCTTCTTCTCTGGCTATAGCAGCCAGAGAAATGACAGCTAATTTTGACAATGGGCAGATGGCAAGGGGTTAAGGGCTAGTTCACACCAGCCCGATTGGTGCCGGAACGCACTGAATCGCATTCCATTGGGTGGGAGGGGGCGTGATGGTGCACTGAAGTCAATGGCATCGCAGCCACGCCCTTCGGCCGCAGTGCGATCACCCGCACTGTAAAGCGTGGAACATCAATGCCTGCTTTCCGGTCCGGTGCAGTCAGAAAAAGTGCTGCATGAACTATTTTTTCTGACTGGACAGGAACTGATGTCCCACGCGTCCCAATGACAGCCACACCCCCTCCCGGCCCCCGAAAACAAAGTGAGCCGGCCGGAAATGTGATCCAGTGCATACTGGGACTGGTGTGAACTAGCCTTAAAGTCTAACTGCAGACATTTTTTTTGTATTTACTTTTGGATAGGGGTTGGGGAAGAGTTGTCCCTCTTTTTCTGTGCCTTTGAAAACCAGTGCAAATAATAAGGGGGGAAAAGCTTGCTTCAGTCAGGAAAGCACAGATATCAATAAAAATATTGTGGAGAAGTTGTAATCCATCCTTACTCCACTAAAATCTGTTTACTTATGTGTCCCCATTGCAGTGATTAGTTCCTCTCCTGTGCAGGAATTTCTGTTGGCAGTACGGGTTTATTTTTGCATTTGGAGAACACAGAAGCTGTGTAATCTTACTACTAGAGAAGGATTAATATTCACCTTTAAAAAATAAGAGCAGTGTAACACAGTCGAGATACTATGAACAGATCTTAGCTCCAGCTATCAAACAGCCTTCTCTACCTGTATTCTCCTTCTTTCCCCTCTTATATGTGCACTACAGTTTACATGTCTCTGCGCTGAGTAGGGCAAAGAAAGACAGAAGCGGGGAGGGCTTGGGGTTAGGACTGGACTAAGCAGGAAAAGATGGGGCTTGGTTTACAGAGGCAGTATAATGGCTTCTTTACAGCAGCAATGGGGTGTTCGGGGTGACCAGTTGCCCATTGCTCAGAGAGCTGATGGGATGGCAGGTCACCTGAACAGGAAGCTAAAATACTGGGATCCCACTAAGGACACTTGTGCTGCAGAAGTTACTGGGACATACAAAACAAGGAAGATTCTGCATAAGGCGAGTTTATTTCTAGTGCTTATTAGCAGCTGAAAGTGTTGATGGTAACTGGTGTTCCCTAAAAATACTAAGGCATTTTTTTAATATTCTATTTACTATTTTAGGATGAAGATGAATTTCCAGAATTGAACAGCAGCAATGGGTGTTCTAGAAATGAGAGCACACAGCCAAAGATGAACGCTAAAGTGGTAAGTGCGGGTTCATGTAAATACACAGCATCCACTTGAAGTGCGGGTGATTGCTGTTTATGTGCATCATTGGTCTACACTTTTTTGTATATTTAAAATATTTTTGATACGCTTTGATAGGAATTGTTGACATTGATGCACTTTAGTAGAAAGTATCTATCTATTATGCACGTTAAGAACGATTAATGCTGGTACACTGATGGCTTTCTTGAATTGGTAGCGCTGTGCACTTTTCCCTATATCCATTTATATTAACTGTGCAAACTTTTGTTTTCAGTTGGACAATTTACCGGAAAATTCTCCAATTAACATTGTTCAGACCCCGATCCCTATCACAACATCTGTACCAAAGCGAGCTAAGAGTCAGAAGAAGAAAGCACTTGCTGCTGCACTGGCCACTGCCCAGGAATACTCGGAGATTAGCATGGAGCAGAAAAAAATCCAGGTCAGTTCTGCACCACCAAGGAAAAACCCTTCAATAGTTTATAATTTTTGTTGTTGTTTTTTTAAAATCTTAAATATACTAGACTATTACCGGCTAAATTTCATGGGATGGGTGTATGTTCCTTGTTTAATTTTTTTTTTTCATGGTTTGTTTCTTGGGTGGACCTGATATTGCCCTTTCTTCCCAGAGAAATGTGGTATATTCATTCTAAACATTTACTGGTCTGCACAGTCTTGGAGCATCTAACCATAAAGCCAAAGATATTGCAAACCCTGCCTACCTTGAACAAAATCTGATCTTCTTTTTTGGGGGTCATTTCCCCCAAAGTGATCATTTCAGCACTAAATATCATATTGTGTACATGTTTATGTAACATAGGAAGCTCTGTCGAAAGCATCTGGAAAGAAGAGCAAGACTCCAGTACAGCTAGACCTTGGAGACATGTTGGCAGAATTAGAGAGGCAGCAACAAGCAATGAAGGCTCGTCAGATAACAAACACCAGACCTTTATCCTACACTGGTATGTAATCTTTCTTGTTTCCAGTTGTCTCTGGCTGATCTATCTTGTTTTTTGGGAGTAACCTGTCCTGATGTGACAGTGTTTCTATTGACAGTTATGTAAGAAAGGGTTTTCTACAAAGAACACATTTGCTTAAATGTGTTCTTGTAACTGTATAAGGCTAATACATGCAATGATGGTTGTGTGTGTGTGTGTGTGTGTGTGTGTGTGTGTATGTATGTATGTATGTATATAATATACACAAACTATATTGCCAAAAGTATTGGGACACCTGCCTTTACACGCACTTTATTGGCATCCTAGTCCATAGGGTTCAATATTGAGTTTGCCCGCCCTTTGCAGCTATAACAGCTTCAACTCTTCTGGGAAGGCATCCACAAGGTTTAGGAGTGTGTCTATGGGAATGTTTGACCATTCTTCCAGAAGCACATTTGTGAGGTCAGGTACTGATATTGGACGAAAAGGCCTGGCTCACAGTCTCCACTCTAATCCCAAAGGTGTTCTAGTTGAGGTCAGGACTCTGCAAGTTCTTCCACCCCAAGCTCGCTCATCCATGTCTTTATGGACCTTGCTTTGTGCACTGGTGCGCAGTCATGTTGGAACCGGAAGGTGCCATCCCCAAACTATACCCACAAAGTTGGGAGCAGGAAATTGTGCAAAATGTCTTGGTATGCTGATGCGTTAAGAGTTCAATTCACTGAAACTAAGGGGCCAAGCTCAACCCCTGAAAAACAAACCCAAACCATAATCCCCCCTCCACCAATCTTTACACTTGGCACAATGCAGTCAGACAAGTACCGTTCTCCCGGCAACTGCCAAACCCAGACACGTCCATCAGATTGCCAGACAGAGAAGCGTGATTCGTCACTCCAGAGAACACGTCTCCACTTCTCTAGAGTCCAGTGGCGGCATGCTTTACACCACTGCATCTGATGCTTTGCATTGCACTTGGTGATGTTTTGTGAGGTCAGGTACTGATATTGGACGAGAAGGCCTGGCTCACAGTCTCCACTCTAATCCCAAAGGTGTTCTATCGGGTTGAGGTCGGGACTCTGTGCAGGCCAGTCAAGTTCCTCCACCCCAAACTCACTCATCCATGTCTTTATGGACCTTGCTTTGTGCACTGGTGCGCAGTCATGTTGGAACAGGAAGGGGCCATCCCCAAACTGTTCCCACAAAGTTGGGAGCATGAAATTGTCCAAAATGTTTAGGTATGCGGTGAAGTTATCTGCAAATTATAGAAGATGCTTTTTTGGAGCATGTGACACTAAAAATAATTACAAACAAATGATAATGGAAAAAATATTCATAGTAAAGTAAAGAAATAAAAAAAAAAAATCAAACAGCAGGAAAATATTAGGGGCGGAAAATATAATGAAGGGGATAAATTCGTTAATTAGGGCCGAAAATAGTTAACTAAGGGTTAATAAGAGGTAAAATAGCAATACATTTCATTTTTTTTAAATGCATAGGTCTTCTATTTATATATACTGAAATGGTAAATAACAATATATCATTATAATGTATTACTCAATGGCACTTGCAGGCTATGTGCAAGTGTCATTTTACACAGAAGCTGCTGCATTTTGACAGCTCCTCATATTGTGTGATACATAGCTATTCCCAGCTAATGGTATCAGCAGTGGTGGAGTTGTGGTAGGAGGAGATACACCCTAGAGACTTTGTAGAAGATTTTTGGGGTATATCACCTATGTTCAAGGTTCCTTAATGGTTCAAAACTTCAAGGTGCAGAGGTTGTGAGCTTTCTAATGTCCATGCTATCTTCACTGGAAATATTGTTTTTTTTTGATCAACTTAGGACTGAGATGAATGTTTGTTTTTGTTCAGTTGGCAGTGCTGTCCCATTTCACACCAAAGAACATACAAACAGGAATGTGTTTACAAAGGCACAGCCTTTTATGGGTTCTCCAAATCCTTTGGACTCCACTGCTCCAAGGATCAAAAGAGGAAAAGAAAAAGAAGTTCCAAAATTAAAACGTCCAACAGCGCTTAAAAAGGCAAGTGTGTTTTTAATATGAGGGTTGGTGGCTATATTATATTTTCTTTTAGTTCTGCACTGCCAAAAACATATTGCTGTGTTATTTGACTTTGAAAAAAAGAATAAAAGCAAGGTAGTATTGTCTATAACAGCTAGTCAGGTTCTGGCTATCAATTGTATCGTTAAATGGTTAAAAAATTAAAGTAAGTACCTGATTGGTTGGTAAAAGCAACATTTTTTTCCCCTCTGGGTATGAAAAGTAGTTATGTGATGGAAAAATGTATTTCTTGCAGGTGAAAAAAGGGATCATAAATGCTGTTAATCTGAAGCACATTAATGACTGATAAATAACTGTTTTCATGTAGATTATCTTGAAAGAAAGAGAAGAAAAGAAAGGACGTTTAACTGTGGATCAAAGTGTTTTGAGTTCAGATGAACAAAAGGATATTTCTTTAAGCTTTACTGATGATCAGTCAGAGGAGTTGGCATCTCAAGAAGGTAATTCAAAATAATTTTTCCAGTTTGGAAAACTGTGTCACATCCAACTAACAAAAATGGCATGTTATGTTGGAATAGTCTTACCAATTCTGAAATTGTGGTAAACACTTCAACAAATCTATCTTTATATTATCTTACCAAAATGCTTTGCACAGCAGAGGGGGGGGGATCAACCACTTTAGTACCAGACATTTATTTGTGTATGTCGGTACTAAAGTGCTTAATTTAGTATTTGGCATTGGAAGTTTTTTTCTTTATGTTCAGTGTTTTTTTTTTTTCTTTACAGAGGAGAAACTTTTTAGGTCATTGGTCTCCTCCAATAGCAGCGGAGACTAAACTCTGATGAGATTAAACCTTTATAAATTGCGAGACAAAATACATGTCTAATCCTCCACATTCCAGTTTGCTTTTTAAATTGAAGCAATTATTTTATGTAAACTGGTAACTAAATTGGAAATGTCACCATAACATGCTAGGAAAAGGCTTATTTTTAAATTACATTGACTTTTAAAACTGTTATTTATTGGATATTTTCCTTCAGATGCAGGTCTCAGTGCACCAAGTGATACCTCTCTGTCCCCAGCAAGTCAGAACTCCCCCTACTGTATGACTCCTGTATCACAGGGCTCTCCAGCAAGTTCTGGGATTGGTAGCCCCATGGCTTCCTCAGCCATCACCAAAATCCACAGCAAGAGGTTTAGAGAGTAAGTGTACACTATGCAGATTCATGGAATTGATTTAATATTGATTATGACCAGGTCCGTTTTCCAGCATGCAGTATACAGCCCCGGTTCCAAAAAAGTTGTGACGCTGTATACAATCTACATAAAAAACAGAATGGGCCAACATTCCTCTCCCAAAACTCCAGCAACTGTTCTCCTCAGTTCCCAGATGTTTACAGAGTGTTGTTAAGAGACAAGTGGATGCTACACCGTGGTAAACATGGTCCTGTCCCAACTTTTCTGAGATGTCTTGCTGCCATCAATTTAAAAATTACCTTTTTTTAATTTTTTTCCTAAAATGGTAAATATTTTCAGTTTAAACACGTGATATGTTTTTTTTATTTTCTATTGTGAATAAAATCTGGGTTTATGAGATTTGCAAATCATTGCATTCTGTTTTTATGTAGATTTTACACAGCGTCCCAACTTATGGCCAAGGTCCACCAACTGCTATTCAACTGTCCAATAACCATGCCTTAGTGCCAAATACAGGTATCTTTGTATTTAAATTTTCCCCAAGAATCTTTGCCCAATGCTCCTTGCAGTTCTTCTTTGTGTATGTACATTGCACAGCACAAGAGTTCTGCAGTGTACATGCTGGCTTGTTCTCGGCATGCCAAGAATAAAGTCTGGTGCCAGAGATGGTGTACCTCCTCTGCGTATGTGTGAGTTACATCGTCAGTGGCTGTCTCGGAAGAAGCAGTGTGAAGATGGAGGTGGTGGATGCAGCATCAACTGGACCTGATACTGCTGGAAGAGGCACACAGAATTCAAGTGACCAGAAACTGCAGAGTTAAATCTTAAAAAATGCATTCAAGTACATTGAAGGGGAACTATGAGGTAAGTGATTTCCACTCATCCTCATATTTAGAGCCGACATGTGACATTTAAGCTGAAGAAAGCAGTGACTGGCAGTCACCACTCCCTGCAAGGATTCCTCCCCTCTCCTATCCTCCTGCCCTGACTGGAGGAACAGACTGGGGAGGGGGCGGGCACAGCTGGCTCTGCCTCTAGATAGGCAAAGCCTGCTGTCAGCCAGCTGGGTGAATCTCAGTGTTGTTGTGATCCGTCTCAGCTGTGGAGATCTCAGTATATAGCTCGCCATACAGTATACTGAGCTTTGGGTCACGGGAGGACATTAGAATATATCCTCCTGTGACCCTAAAGAGAACTATGGGATAAAAAGGTTACCCCATAGTTCTCTTAACAAAAATGTATCTTTTTTTTTTTGTGTGTCTGTATCACTCGCCTGTAGATCATCAAATAATCTCTGAATTCATGCTGACACTGTCCTTCCTTCTGGAGGGTGGCTACTTTTGTTCCCCATGGTCGCTGTGTGTATTGTAAAGTAGTCACCACTCCAAGCTCACTCCCGTGATGGACTACAATCTCATGTTTTAGATTACTTAATACATAATTTGTATTAAAATTATGGACTATCACGGGAACAAGTTTGGAGCAGTGGCTACTTTACAGCACACACACAGGGACCATGGGGAACAAAAGTAGCCACCCTCCAGAAGGAGGGACAGTGTCAGCACCAATCCAGAGATGATTTGATTATCTACAGCCGAGTGATGCACAAATACGATACAGCTTTGTTAATAGTTAACATAGTTTTTTTTGTTTTTTTTAAAGATTTAACTCCTGAGTTTAGTGTCCCTTAAGTGTTTCACAATCAGCAAGTATGCTGTGCATACTCCCTCACTCAGCAGAATATAGTTCCACTTTAAGAAGTGAAAAGAGCAAGACTGGTTGATAAGCAGTAGTACAGTAGCTGTTACAAGTCAGTCAGATTTCACTATAATGTATGTAGATCAGTTAAAGTGGAACTTTAACCTACAAAGCTAAATCAATGTAAATGTATGCTGAATTCCATTACAATATAATCCTCGACTTGAGTAAAATGCAATATACTTGCCAGGTTCTATAAATAAAAAGCCACATTTCCTACTGCACATTCTCAGGATTCCTTTAATTCTCGGCTTTACAAGAGAAATGCCTCTCTAGGCTGTCAGCAACTCTTGTGAAATTTATGTGGAGGCTGTGACTTGTCACGAAGCTTGTAGTTTTGCAAGTGTGTACTATGCTGTATGAAGGTTGGCACAGTAGCTGTGAGTGCAGATGGGTTATCATCACTGCCCTTAAAGAGGAAATGAGTGCAGATAAGCATTATAACAGAAGACAGTAGTTTTCGGGTTTCAACTGCGCATGTCTGGGATTTAGTACAATTACAGAGGAACTGGGAAGTGGTTCAAGAAAAAGATGGCCCTGTCATCACTGGGTGACTGACAGAATTGCTCCATTGCCAGGAATCTGTATACACACAGGACTGGTTCACCATTAGTTAAAAATTTATGAGGCTTATTTAAGCTTCTACTGAGATTTTTTTTTTTTTTATATATATCAGAAATTTTATTGAGAATAAAAATCTTTATACAAGAAAGCCAAAGTACAATGGGTAGAGGACACTTTCCGGAAAAGTATCAAACTGCACTCAGAAAACAGTAACCAAATAAAGGGCTACAAGTGAGTACAGGTAACAATAACATTCAAAATACAAAGGAAGATCAAACCTGAGATACATGAAACCAACCAACAAACCCACTAGAAGAGGTATAGGTAGCAAACCCGCATAGGGGTATTGCCAGTGAGAGCTATGAAGGCCACGGAACCACGGACTGATCCGTAGGGCTCCCCCGCACGCACCTGTGTCCCAGATGGAACTATCCCAACCACTGGGCCAAGATGTGATAGAAAGTGTCCAAATAAATCAGGAAAAAGAACAGAGGAAATAAGAAGAAAGGGAAAGAAAGATAGATCAATAAGACAACGAAAAGAACAAGATCAGCTATGCATCCATGGTAAAAGTGGCAAGAAAAATCTAGACAGGGCAGGTATACAAAGTAATTGATACTGCCCAAAGGACCAACAGAACTCCAAGAGCTCTGAAGAGTGGCTAGACACCAGCACTTCATCAGTCAAAAGTGTCACTATATTGATGGTTAACCCGAGAAAGATGCTAGGGAAACCAGATCGCAGAAAATGTATCATACTGATCTTATAATTGGGCCGTCAATTCCTTCATGTGCATCAATCGATTCAGTTCCGTTGCCCACTCCATAAATGCCGAGACAACATCTGTACTCCAGTGTCTCGGGTGCTGGGATCATTTTAAATGTTTTACAGGTTACAGTTCTGCTTTAATGTGTCATTTCTCTCCCGTTCATTGAAGGACACAGGCAACAGATCGTAGATCCTGAATGGTAGGGTAATATCGCCACCTGCAGGAGAAGGACGCTAGGCACAAAACTAAAGATCAATTACAGCCTAGGGGCGGCCCCTGCCGGTGGCCAAACCCCCCACCTGCTGACAAGAGATTGTTATTGGCAATTACACATTGCTTTACTGAACAAGACCACTTCCATCTCTATTCTGTACGTATACTAGGAGTGATATGTTAATGAAATTGACACCGGTCACTATGGAAATGTATATACACTAAGCTTGGTAAAGAAGACGAAGCTGTGTTTACTTCAATCAGCTAATCATGTTGTAGCAGAAATCCACTTTTTTTTGTTTTTTTGTTTTTTTCCCCTCGCACACAAATGGGAATTCAAAGTGAACCAAAGTTTACTTTATTTACTAAAATGTACTTTCCTAAATGAACCTCACAGTAGACAACAATAGTAGTATATGCTCCCAATTACACATAAGTGTTGGCAATGCATACATTTGGCTTTGATTGTATGGAATTATGGTCCGTTAGGATCTAAAAGAATCTTGCTCCTTCATTAAAACCCATAGGTAAAGCAAAACACCCATATATAAAAAATCAGTAATTAAGATACTAAACTTTCAAAAGGTAAATATATACACAGAGGGGGGAATTTATCAAAACTGGAGCAAACTGAATCTGGAGCAGTTGCCCATGGCAACCAATCAGCATCTCTCTTCAGTTTGCCCAGGTAAGATTTGAAAATGAGAGAGAGAAGCTGATTGCAGTGCAAATCTGCTCTAGATTTTGTCTGCTCCAGTTTTGATAAATTACCCCCAGTGTGTATTTCCACAAAGTAAGCATCCTGAACACAAGGATGACGGTGTTTGGAATTTTTTTTTTACAAAAAGACATACTGCTTGCATTTAGACATGATAATAGCAAATCATGGTCAATATGATGCCCTGCCAATGTACATATTTTTATATGACCTTGTTTCACTCTTTAATTAAAATGAATTGTACTTTTCACATTTGCCTAGGTATTGCAATCAAGTACTAAGTAAGGAGATTGATGAATGTGTAACTGTGTTGCTGCAAGAACTGGTCAGCTTTCAAGAGAGAGTATACCAGAAAGACCCAATGAAAGCCAAGTCGAAAAGAAGATTAGTTATGGGTTTACGAGAAGTAACCAAGCACATGAAGTTAAGCAAGATCAAGTGTGTTATTATTTCACCAAACTGTGAAAAAATTCAATCAAAAGGTTTGTTGTCTTGGTCAGGTCTTTACAGAGGCAAATATGTTTACCATAGTTGTTTTGGTTGTACTTTGCTGTTCTTATCCTCCAGCATATGGACCCCTTTTCTGCAAAGGCTATTATGTTGTCAAGATGTTTTTTATTCAGTTGTAACCTAAAAAAGACATTAACCCCTTCATGACTGAGGCCCTTTTTTCCATTTTTGCACCCATGTTATATTCCACATTTTAGGCCTGAAAATGACGTAAAATCTGGCGATTTTATAAAAACCCGCTTAACCACTTGCTGACCAGGTGTTAAACCCCCTTCCTATCCAGGCCATTTTTCAGTATTCAGCGCTGTGTTACTTTGACATTTATTCCGTAATGTCATGTTATCCTGAAATTAATTTTATACCATTTTTTGGGGGGACAGATGGAGCTTTCTTTTGGTGGTATTTAATCACCACCTGGAGTTTTTTTATTTTTTACTATTTTAAGGAAACATTACTGAAAATTTTGAAAAAAGTTGTTTTTTACATTGTTATAAAACATTTATTACCCAATTTTTTGGTAAAATATAAAAGATGGGGTCACGTCGGGTAAATAGACACCGAACATGTCAAGCTTTAAAATTAAGTGCACCCCTGAAATCGCAAAAAACTACCATACCCAAAATTGACCATAGGCGACTGATTGAACTAGAATGTTTGCTCTCACTGTGGCGATATGCAACATGTGCCACATGTATGTATGGGTGGGGACTTTAAAAATGTTTTTGTTTTTTTTAAATTCTTTTTCTTGTGTGACTTAAAAAAATTTGTTTCCAACTTTAATTTTTTCCCCCCCTATTATTATTATTTTTTTTTTCACTTAACTTTGTTATCACATAGGGAGCTAAGAAACCCCCCTGTGTGATAGCAAAGAGGATGTGACAGGTCCTCTTTATGGAGACATCAGGGGTCTCCAAGACCCCTAATGTCACCTAAGGACCTCCAAAGAAGCTGATGTGAAATGAAGCAGACATCTGCTTCTCCCCAGCTTCTGAAGCTGGAGAGTGACACAAGAATGAAGAAGTGATGTAACATACATCACTTCTGCATTCTGACACCGGAGAGGGGACCAGAGGGAGATCGCGTACCAATCTCCCTCTGATCCCCTGTCACAGAGCCACGGGCTCGCACCTGGCACAGCGGAGTCTGGGACCAGCAGAGGCAGAGTCCGCACCGGTCGGCACCTTTATACAAGCTATAGAGCCGGCGGATCGCTTGTATGTAAACAGGCATCGATTCCTGTTTTTAAATTTTGACATTTTCCCACTCGCATGTGGGCATGGCTGAGCGGACGTTTAAAAATCCCCCTGCTCAGGTCCAGGGAGCTCCCGGCCAGCTGCTGTTGGACGCTGGCCGGGAGGCCGTTAAAATATAAGTACCTTGAGCAAATATGAGCACTGCTGTATGTGAGCAATTGGTACTTACAATTAAATGAACGGGGGTTCCAGTTTGTATACTTATATATAAGGCTTTAAGAAAGTAGTCTCCTCCTTTTTTGTGTTTTTCTTGTTTTATTGCATTATCACCTGGAAGCAAAATTGATTTTTGGTGGTTTGTACCATGTGATGTACACAACATGTCTTCCTCTTTGTAGGTGCAAAATAATGGTTATTGTGACACCATAATAAAAAACAGAAATCTTAAATGTGCATAACTATTCACCCCCCCAAATCTCAACACTTTGTAGAGCCACCGTTTGCTGAAATTACAGCTGCAAGTCTCTTGGGGTACATCTCTATAAGCATGGCACATTAAGCCACTGGGATTTTTGCCACTTCAACACTTCTCATCACCCTCAGAACACCATCCTCACAATAAAGTATCTCAATCCATTTGAGAATCTGTGGCCTGACTTGAAGCATAAAGCCCCTTTTCTGTGTAGTGTACAGCTTAAAGTGGTCCTGTGTATATAAAACCTTTTCTGCACATAGTTCTCTTCAGGGCCACAGGAAGACATATACTTGTCCTCCGGTGACTCAAAACTCAGCATATAGTGGGCTATTGCGTACTATATGCTGAGAGCGCAGGGCTGCTCCACAGCCGAGATGAACCCCAACATGACTGTCGATCTACCCCGCTGGCTGATTGACATCAGTGCCCACCCCCTTCCATTCCTCCAGTCAGCGCTCTCTGCAGGGAGACAATCGGGAAGTCAGTGATCGGCAGTATGTGTTTGCGGACTTCCCCATCAATAGAGCCGTGTGACCGCTTCTTTGTCAGAAGGCGGCTTGACTTATGGGGATGAGTGATTTTCACTCGCCCCATAATTCTCCTTCGAGCCTTCTTCAGTGACTGGCTGAAGTGACTGTGCAGATTCAACATTGCCCTCCATTCCAGCCCCCTCCCTAACATTACACAGTGGGAAGCTAGGTAGGATTTTAGGCAAGTAAAAAGCAGCACTTCTTCTTTTTTTTTTTTTTTAAGTTAGGCAATGTGAATAGGAACATAAAGCACATTGGGTAGATGTTATCCCAATTTGGCTGCAAACATGGAACTACACTATAAAGTTGATTCTCTGGCCTGGTCTGGAACAAGAGGTTGATCCACTGTTCTCTTCTTAGTCATGGCAGATTTCCACTCTGGTATGGCCCTTTCTTTAGTCTTGATTTAGGCATTGATTCCTTTAGATAATCTGTTGTAGGATGGTCCATACATCTCTTGGGCCTCACAGTGACTTCTGCCCACCCCTCAGATGAACTATTTTTGAACGCTCCAAATGTTTTAGAGTTCCATGATTTCTATGTCCTCAGTGAACAATAAAGAAAATGAGATGTTCATACTTGACGTAAAGTCTTTTTCTTGAAGTCTCTTGCGGTACACAGGCCACATCCCTTTGTGTAATTGGCCACATGTAACGCTTGCTCCCAACTTCCTATAGGCAGCGGTATACTTGTATAAAGTAAGAAATTGTTTTTATGCAAAGTACAAACATCTTATTATATAACTAAATATTGTTAGCCTTGGCAGACTGTTTAGTAGACTTAAATATATATATATTTCTTTTAATCAGGTGGATTGGATGAAGCCCTCTATAACGTTATTGCTATGGCCAGAGAGCAAGAAATTCCTTTTGTTTTTGCTCTGGGAAGGAAGGCACTGGGTCGCTGTGTAAATAAATTAGTACCTGTCAGTGTTGTTGGCATTTTCAGCTACTGTGGGGCAGAGGTAAGATCAGTAACAACTTTGGTATATTATTATAATGAAATCTAAAATAGCTGTATGCATAGTGGAAAAAATACTTTGTAAATTAAGACTATATGTTCTATAAACTAGTAGCTCTGGGTTCTCAGAGAGAGATAAAGAAACTATTTGCATTGCTTTTTTTTATTACCCCAAAATGAGGAATACATCCATTTTTTTGGCCTTGTAATTGAATTAATGACATTCAAACTGTAATGTAATCAAATAAACCCTTTTTGGTTTGTTTTGGTCCACTTCAGCTGGCTATCCTGTGTTGAAGTTTTCATAAACTACATTTTGTATTGCTCTCCAGAATTGTCACAATACTTTTGCCTACTTATGTTACCGCACTCAAAACAAACTACCCCCCCTACACCAAACCAAACTACTGTATTTTTTAATATTATATTTTGGCAGCACATATGCAGTGTAATACTAATAGATTTTTAGATATCAAACAAAAAAGGAAAGTGGCTCAAAAATCCTCTGGCTGCCTTGGAGTTGCTGTAAAGCCACACATATACAATGTTTTTGTCAGAGTTCAATGGTGAAGGCCCCCAATGCTCTGTACAAGGTGTTTTCTAAAAATAGTGCTTCTTTTAGCCGGTGTCTCTTCTGAAAAAATCATATATTTTAGGACTGTTTGCAGGACATGAATTAAACACTTCAGCCTGTTGTACAACTGGCTGATATCATGTCCTGCATAGAGCACTTTATTATAGAGTCTAAGCAATAGAATCATGACAGCATTAGTAGGGAGCAATTTTTAGCATATTCAGTCAAATTGTTCCAAACTGTACAGGGTGCCTGAGTGGAGACTCTGGGCATGTTTAAGGGTAACGCTATTAGGATATACAAAATAAAGCACCAAGGAGAAGATATTTACATTGAGTTTCCTTAAGTATTACTTTGCACACTGGCCTTGGTCAGTATCTTAACAAAACTTTGCAGATTTGCACTGCAACCAATCAGCTTCTCTTTCTCAGGCCTGGTTCACACCATTTTCAGTGCGTTCCGGCCGCAACGCACTGGGTCGCATCGCGGCCAGCTCAGTTTGTTGTGGGGCACTATTTTTTCTGAACAGACCGCAGGCATTGATGTGCCACGCCTTCCCGTGCAGCCGATCGCATTGCGGCCGGAGGGCGTGGCTACGGTGCCATTCACTTCAATGGACCGCCTCGCCCCACAACAAACTGAGCCGGCTGCGATGTGATCCAGTGTGTTCCAGCCCGATTCTGGAATGGTGTGAACGAGTAAACTGAAAAGAGTTGCTGATTGCTTGCCATGGGCAACTGCTCCAGGTTTGATAAATCCCCCCCATCTTGTCTTTCTGCTCCAAGTTATTCTTTCTCATAAATTGTCTTTTGCTAATGACCAAGTATTTTTTTTTCTCTTTAGAACTTATTCAATAATCTGGTGTCACTGACGGAAGAGGCCAGAAAGGCGTACAAAGATATGGTGTCCTCAATGGAGCAGGAACAGGCTGAGGAGGCTTTAAAGAACGTTAAAAAAGTTCCTCACCACATGGGTCATTCTCGCAACCCCTCTGCTGCCAGTGCAATTTCATTCTGCAGCGTCATCTCTGAGCCGATATCAGAAGTCAATGAAAAGGATTATGGTATGATTTTTGCAAATAGAGTTATGTACCAGTGGGTGGATAAAATAATAATTTTAGGAAACTGAGAAACAATAATAAGATGGATTGCAAAGCTTGCAAATTCAAAAATAAGGATAACATATGTGTGCACTGTATGTGGTGTATTCAGGTAAGATAGAACTCCAGACAAACTGTAAGGGTGTGTAGCAACTGGCTTTGTGCTTGTGCCAATGGGCAAATGCAGCTTGTGTTCAGGTGCATTCCGCATTCATTTAACATTAGTTTGGAATGCTTCTGAGTTTCTTGGAGTACATCATAGAACACAGGGAGTTAATTCTTGAACAGATGGGCTATGCAGCTACCTTCAGGTGAAGGGCCACTGGCAAATCAAAGCTGTTAGGATTGCCTTGTATAACCCCTTTCACTCCCAGCCTGCCTCATTATTGTATCAAGCAGTACAAGTGGGGATCACAGAGAAAAGGGGAGGGTCCTCTGATGTACTCAAAGAAATGGATTTCACAAGTAAGACAAAAATCATGTTTTCTTGATCGTACATCAGAGGACACATGGAATAAATTCTGGAACGGTTGGCATGTCCAAAAGCCTTCCAACAGAGGGAAGGGCAACACTGCAAACAACTAGCAGGCCTGTGCAACAAGAAACCCCCAGAAAGAAACTGGAACAGAAGATGCCCACAAGTCAGATGGCCTTCTGAAAAACTTTGTAGCTGAAAATAGCATCTGCTGAGTTTTGAATGTCTATGTGGTAAAACTTGGCAAAAGTGTGAACAGGGGAGCAGGTGCCTTACAGATTTTTGGTATGAAAGTCTGATGCTGGAAGGCCCAAGAAGCAAACGCTTCTAGTAGAGTCTGTCTGAAATAGGGGAATATTAACCTACAACTAGTAGGCCTGAATAATAGTTCACCAAATCCACCTAGTGATGGTGGAAAGGCCGCCCTTAATAATCACAAAGAAGGAATCAGCCTTAGGGATAGAAGCAATAGCAGAAAAGTAAACTTTAACTGTCCAAAACAATGTCCAAAAAGTGGGAGAGAAACCTCCTTTAGGATGTTTAGGAGCACAGCAAAGACTGCCTTGGGAATTAAGGAGGCCCTAGGCCGCAGAACTACCTTATCCTTTTTGGGAACCAAAAAGGACTTTTAAAAAGCCAAGGCCACCAACTCAAACAGACCTGGCAGAAGTAATAACCACAAGGGAAGACAAGCTTGTGAGTGAGTAGGGTAGATGTGTCTCTGAAAGGTTCAGAAAGCTGAAAGGGCAACTTCTGCAGAGCTGACAGGACTAGGTTGAGGTCCCACATAGCCACTGGAGAGTGAGAGGTGAATGGCTTCTGGAAAGGAATCTCCAAGGCAAAAATTTGGCCCTTGATGGTACTCGAGGCTAAACGCTGGTGTACACGACTGAAGGGAAGATAACATGCGTCCCATGGAATACTTTCTGGGATGGAACTTCCTTGATTTGCACCAAAGAAATCAGCCTTCCAGGTGCAATGATGGACCTTCTAGAAGATCGAATTCCTAGCTTTCAGAAGCGAAGGGATGACCACTTCCAAGAGGTCAGGCCGCTAAAGCCACCATCCAAGAAGCTGAGAGAAGGTGTCCATCACTTAAGGACACTAGCAAAAAAGTGCACAGGCTGGCATGTGTTATACAGAGCTGCTCAAACAGCTTTGATTTACTAGTTTCCAATCACCTAAAGGTGTAGCTGCATAACCCATCCATATTTAGAAGAATATACGGTCAAGAAATCCTGCCGACAGGTCCTGAAGTACACAGTTGAAATAGATCATTCTACTACTTCCTGGGTCAGCTCCCATCTCTCTGTGCATAGCTGATTCATTGTCCAAAGAGCTGCTGAAGGTGGGAGTGTAACATGAGATTAGAATTTTAGAACCAGAGAATAAATGGATCACCTGCCTGGCTGCGCAGTCTGACAGATGTTGGTAAATCTTGAGATTCATCAACAGAATTCGTTATCAGGTTAACATTAAACTTGTATGTATTTCAATTGTGTATATTTAGCTGTGTGCCAGAAGTCCTCCTGGTATTATTTGGTATAATGCAATATACCAAATAAATGCAATACTTTTTGCTATGAAGTTATTTTTAAAGCATAGCAGCTGGAACATAGGTATGGATATACAGGTTTCCATATTAGCACTGGTCCTATAATAATGCATGTTTTGTTAATCTGATCTCATAGTACTGCATTCTTTGTTGATCTTATGCCAAGTTCATAAGTTCAAGTGCTATTAAACCCTTGTGCTTTTTTAAAAATATTATTATTATAGATGAGAAGACCCACACTTACATTATTCAAACATTCTTCTTGTTAAAAGTTGTTTTTCTCCTCCTGCAGCTGGTCCCCAAACCGCTGATCCCCTGCCTGTTTGTGGGTGTCTCCTTCAGCTAGCCAGCTGATGAGGAGATGCTTGTGTGCGTGTTCACATCTGTGATCCGCGCCTAGCTGTGTGCGTCCATAGACACACACATTGCACGCTTGCTCCCTCCATCACCCTTAGTAATAGTTTAACTGATGGCAGAAGGAGCCTATCGGTCCACGGCCCTCAGTACACTCCCCCACAACCAGGAATGCATTCATGTAAAAGCACCCAGCCTTGAATATTACTTTTAGGCTGATTGATCCACACTGCCTGCAAAAGCATGCGTTGTTGTAGCGCTTATTTTGTAAGTTATTAATAATGTTTGTGCTTTTTTTTGCCACAGAAACAAATTGGAGAAATATGGTAGAAACATCTGATGGACTTGAAGCATCAGAAAATGAAGACTGTTCTGTGAGGACCATGGATTCAGAACACACCATTAATGTCCAATCTGATAGTAAAGCCAGCATACCTAAACCAACACCACTGAACACTCCCGGTGTTGCTACCTCAGGCATTAAACCTGGCAAGTTGACACCAGTGGAAAAAGATGAGGTGAAACCAGATGACAATCTGGAATGGGCATCTCAACAGAGTACTGAAACTGGATCATGGGATGGAAGCGGCAGAGATGTCCTCAACTCCTCCATGACAAGTACAACTAGCACTCTGGTACCAGAAATGCTGGAGGAAGATGATGATGAGGAAGAAGAAGACGATGAGTATCAGCAAGAACCTATATCAGTAAGCAGAATAGAGTCCTGGGTTTCTGAGACTCAGAGGACTATGGAGACACTTCAGCTTGTAAATAGTCCTGAAGAGGATAATATAGAGCATAGCGAAGATGATGATGATGTGGAGCCCTCTGAACATGTAGATCCAGTTGTTGAATGCAAGGAACGGACTGTGGAAAAGCTTCCTAGGAATGGATCACAGCCACAAAGCAGTGGGAGGGCGTTATGAAAAGAGAGTTCGAATTCTAATTTTATGTAAACATCAGTGAATACAACAAACTCAGGAATTGGTCCTTCTACAGAATACTGGGAGAGTTTCAACCATTCCCATACTTGTTTCATCTCATTGTTTTGCACTGTTTAAATGTCTAATCTATATTTAATTCCTTGTAAATAATGTTATTTGATATTAATTGTGTTGTTTGTTCTTTAGTTCAGCACTAGGGGGCACAGGAAGAAATGTTTCAGTCAGACAACTAACCGTATGTGCACTTCAGTGTGTATGTATGCACGCACGCACTTCTAAACACAAAACCAGCAGCATTTCCGTCTTGTGCACTTCATTGTTGGTGTGAACTTAACAGGGATAAAATATGACTATATGCTTAAAAGATAACTGTAGTTTTAAACCACCCTGATATGGTTACATCGGGTACTTCGAAAGAGTTAATGTAATTGGCCACACTATAGTTGCCAAAATCCTACTAAACACTGCAAGGGCTGGTGTAGCGTATTGGCTCTCTTGTGCACTCCATGAAAGGGACAGGTACTATGGGTACTATGAGAAACAAATACATGAATGCAATCTCTACATCTGGACTACACTTTGCTCTCTCTCTGCTCTTCCTCTTAGTGTTGCATTCCCTCTACACACTATCCTTAGCAATGATGATGTATTGTCATGTTTGTTTGCTACTTTCCCCCCCCGTGTTGTGAACTTGCATGGTTACCGTTGTACACAGACTCTGGAATAAGGCTGCAAGCCACCCGCACTGACAGCACACATCAGATGAAGCATACCTACAGATATAAATAAGTAAAAGTCATCAGGACTGTACTCTATCAAGAGGGACAATGCACATAACCAAAGGCGATGCAGGAAATTCAGAGGACACTGAGCTTGCAATCTACAATATTTATTACCTTCTATTACTCGTATACTCTTACATTAATAACCCCTCAACGCCTACTCTCACAGCATGCATCTCAAGCAGGTTAACCCCTCAACGTCCACTTCACCGCTCATGCATGTCCTGTTGCCAGTGCATGTACTTTAATCGCTTAGTGCCCAGTCCCCAATGCATCTGTCTTAACCCCTCAGCAGTCAGTCCCCAGTGCATGAGTATTAATCCCACTGTAACCAGTGCCTGTGTGTGTTAACCCCTCAGTTTGTCCTCAGTTCATATGTGTTAACTCGTCAGTGGCCAGCACCCAGCATATTTTTATTAACGCGTTAGTGCAACTGTCTTTGGCACATGTGCAGTAACCCCTTAGTGCATGGTCCCCAGTGCATGTATATTCCATGTTATATGTGTTTCGTGTATCTCCTGTTTCTTCTTCTGCCCACTTTTGCTATAAAAATAATTTCAAGAAAAGTAACATTTAGTGGATAACACACACACACACACACACACACTGATAGGACTCGTCTCGTCACATTTACCTTATTTAATGAACACTTAATAAGGGAAAATATGTAGTTTGGGGAGGGGGGGCATATACAAATGTCTAAATAAAATTGTCACGCCAATCACGGGCTATGCTCAGCAGTGTTCTGAAAAATGAAAGGCACCCAATTATATTAACATTCTCAAAGTACTCAGTAGTTAAGGTTTGCACCTTCAAGATTGTTTGAAACTATGGTTATCCTTAAATTAGTTTTCCTCTGATTCTGCACCCTAATATACAAACATTTACACTTGAGGTTAGTTTTGTGTTCTGTAAGTAATTATATATTGTTTCTTTAGTTATCTATTCATTTCATATTTATAATGAAGTTGTGCATACAAATTCAATCTATAGGAGCAACATTTTACTTTTGTGTAGTGTTTTGAGGTTGTTGGGTTGCTATTTGTAAACTCTTTTAGTTTGGCTGAAAGTTTCTGCTACTAGACCGTGAGTATTTGTGGGCTTTGGAATAACTGGCTGTCAATCTATCCTGCTTGGGTCCCACAACAGTCTCAAACAGTTGCATCATTGTGCTGTTTGCAGTTGTCTTGAGCCCCAGGTGTCGGTTGTTACTAGGGCTGCAATCAGTTGCAGGTTAGCAGTTTTCAGCTTTGCTGCAGTTCCAGTATGTTGGTACCTATTAAAGTAAAATAATAGCATAAGATTGTACTTGGCACAAACATTTCAATATTTTTTTTTCTTTTTCTTTTAACTTATATGTAGTACTTATTCCGTTTTGGTTTTGCCTTACTGGCATACCTCTTGTTGGGTTAAGTAATGCTAATATTAATATCTGATAGGAAGCTTTTCTAAACCCCTTGCAGACAGATATGAATTGGCAGGATTTACACAGTAGTCCTACTGATCAAATGGAACCGAAAGCTTTGTGCTCCTCTGACTACATGTAGACTTCTTTTGTAGGCTACGCTCAGAATACTTTGGACCAGTATAACTGGTTATAAAACTGTTCAGCCTAATGTTCATAATCATTAGGTTCTGCATGATACGATTGTCTATAAGACAGTAAATGGCCCCTTGGGCTGATGTAATGTTCTTTTAATGATACAATAGGTTCCATGGCATGGGGCTTAAAGGTGGTCCTGTTCTTTGCATGTTGTAATTAGAACAAAGAGAGGCTGACTTTGTGTATGAACCAATCTTGGCAGCAGTAGTTTCTGATAGTTCACCAACAAAGAAACGTATGAACATGTTTTGTATATATTGCGTCAGTAGCTGCATCTACAGGTATGTGGATCCAGAAGTCTTTTACGAGTTACTACACTTTTCATAACCCTCTTTGTATTAAATATTTGAAAAGTTCAGTTTCCATAAGGTGACTGGGTTATTGTACAGTTTTAATTAAACAGACCTGTTTACTACCTTAGGAACAAGTCTTGAAATGCAATGAGTAAGGAGTGAGGCCAGCTTAAAATGTATCCAGTGTTTATGCATTGTCAGGCAGCTTTTTGTGCAGCTCTTCTGCCACAATAATGTTACCGGTTATTAGTAACCTCATGGGCGAGACATTTGCTGCACAATGGCTGTCGGCCGGTTTATGGATAACTGGTACACTTCAGACATGAGCGGCATGACAGACCTTAACTTGCATGTATTTCAAGCACCATCGTGTTCGTGGAAATGACAGAATTACAAGCTTGTAAGACATTTCACCTCAACATTTTGAATTGGTATTTAGTTCATTTGTACAGGTTTGGATTCTTGATCCTGACAGAAGGTGATATTTAGCTAGGTAATGTTTCAATTGAACTTTAGTCCGTTTTCCTTCTTATTTTGGCAAATGTGTCAGAAAAAGGAAAGCCTGTGACTACTTACAGTGTAAGTTAGTGGGTGTAGTAATGCAAAAAAAAATTAATTAATCTTCATTAAAATGTTACATACATGCCAGGAATGATTGACACACAGGGCATGGTAAATACTGTCGTCTTTTTTTTAAAACACCAATATATTCCCCTTTTCTGTTTTATTACCCAAGAATTTCAAAATATATCCGATTTGTTATCCAGATATGTATTAAAACTTTCCGTCTTTCCTGACTGCTTTATGATTACCTGTTATCTGACAGACAGTTGAGATGCTCAGTGACGCAAGAGCTAGGAAGAAAGAAATCTGAGCAAATACTTCATGGAAATAGTGTGCAGTAGATGACTTGTACTTGTACAATGTTGTTTAGTAGACTTTCACCTCTACTGTGCTGTGAGGCTCCTGAAGAAAGATGGTCGTCAGATGGTCACATGTGATTCAGAAGAACTTACCCGACATGTAAATTAATTTTCCCTCCTAAATCTTCCTTGTCATATTTCTTGTTCTATTTTTCTGTTGTTGTTTGCTTGTATAAAAAATTAAAGTTTCCAGAATGATTATTTTAATAGTTTGTACATATTTACATTTTGAGTATTAGTCTTCCATTTATTTCCGTTAACATTGTCACTTGGCAATGGAAAGCATGAAGGTTAATGTTGTTGTGAAATATTAACTATGGTCTGTGATTGAGGCCTATAGAGTGTTTCATATATATGGATTGTCCTATCCATTAAATCAGTATACCACTAAAGTCCTTAAGAGTTGGATTGTGCTTTCTAAGGAAGAAACCTTAGGAGTTTCTCTAGAATGAGCTTAAAGCAACATTTAAACAATGTTCCACGAATACTACAGCCTGTATACAATGAATTGATTTAAATGTATGGTTACTGTAAACATTCCTTCATGAGAATAGTCTGAAGAGGAAAGTTGCCTCCATCTCCAGTGTGTAAGGTAATGGCATTGTCTGGTTTTATAATGTCAAACTGTGTGTTACCATTCAGATATAGTCAGGAGCTTGTAGTGTATACTGAAATATTTCAGTATGTCCAATGTCAGGAAATCAGCACTTCACGGCTTGTGAATATTTTAATTTGGCTTGCAATATAAAAGGAAATATCTTCCAGTATATGCTGACTTCAGATATAGGATTGATGGGCTTGTAAAGTAGGCAACAGACCTTCTTCCTTAAATCCACATCATTCACTTATTCTTTAAGTGTTACTTGTATCGTTTACTGAAATGTAATCTTGCTAAGTATTTGATGTCCTGAAGTCGCTGGCATTGTTATTGTATTGTTTTTTTATGTTATTGGTTCCTCAACACATGCCCCTGAGACATGATATGGCAAACGTTGCTAGACTTATATGACCATATACATATAATATTCTGAATGAATTGTAATGTGTTGCAATAAGTCCATAACCTCATTAGCTGTGTCTACAGGTCTCCTTGATTCTAAATGATTTTCATTTATAGTGGGCATGCTTTATGAAAGAAATTACACACATTTCTGAGAGTAACCTTTTAGATTTCTGTGATTTTGCTTTTAAATGATGTTCCTCTTTTTATGTGCTTGCTTTGTCCCTTCCAAAATACTGTAGTCTGTTTTTTTAATCTGTTGACACGTATACTCTTGCTTTGCTCTTAACAGTTTGCTCCTAATGAAAACAATAAATCAGCTGATCTATATATGGGAACTAGTATTCCTAATAAAACATGAAGTTTTTTTCTGTATGAAGGATAATACTATTTTTATTGTTCATTTTGGATT